CGATAAACAGCCACCTGGTGGCGGGAAGAGGTAACATGACACGATAAACAGCCACCTGGTGGAGGGAAGAGGTAACATGACCCATAAACACAACTGAGGTAAGAACAGGTAACACCACGCGGTAAATGGCCACCTGGTGAATGGAACAGGTAATACCAAACGACACACTACCACCTCGCAGAGGAAAAATAGAAAAAGGATAAAATATAGGAAAAATATAGAAAAAATAGGATAAAATTGGATCACAATTGGCTACCAGATGAGCAGAAACACAATCTCATACCCCCCACCCCCACCCTGCCGCACGCACGAATGAACGAACGCGCCGAGATAAGCACCTGAAACACGTTGAAGAAAACCGAGCGAACGGACAGACCCTCCAACGACTTCCTACTGTTCCAGAACTGTATATCTGCAGAAAGAAAACATCATGAGAATGTGACTGTGAGAATATTGTAACATGTGCCATAGCGAGCCCAATAGGTGGCGCAAAGTACTCCCCGAAGCCAGTGGCAAACACCAATGTGGCAGCCTGCACTGAACAGGAATAAATTCGCTGTTCGTATTATATATTAAAGGTTGAGTTTTCAGTCTTTACTTCAGAAATACAACAGTGACAACTATGCTACACGATTAACTACATGATGAGATCACGGCAGCCACACTATGCACCCATACGACACGACACAAGTAACGATCGCTGCCTATACGATTACGACACCAATCGTTACAACCTCCAGTAGGACATTTTGCCACCGATTAAACACGATTAGGACACTTTACCGTTCTTGAAAGCGAGGAATTCGAAGACACTGTGGACGATGGAGATGACGACGGTGAGACCTAGCAGATATGGATTTGTCTCCAACATCGCTTGCTGCTCAAGTACAAAAACATATCCAGGCAATTAGTCGTAATTAGTCGCAACTAGTCGTAGTGCCAATTAGTAGTAGAACGACATAAAAATTTGTACTAATTTGATTTTAGTATATACCAACGTCTACAACCGACTGTAGCAAACTAATTCTGTGTACTTAATTACTCGTAATCCAAGCGTGAAACGACACGAAAATTTGTGCTAATTTTATTTTAGTACATACCAACGCCTAGGACTGACAGTAGCATACTAATTCTGTGTAGTTAATTACTAAGTAATTATTTTTATTAAGTATAGCACTAACCTTAAATTAATATATCACACACTAGTGCCAGTAGCATACTAAACGCACATGTCACTACATTATATCACAGTGCAAATAGCAGGTAATAAACCTACTACATATAAATTTCACATTTAAAACAGAGGTTTACAGAATACAGCCGAGACCATGGCCACTGTGGCTGCGTCCATATGCAACTCCGTGCTCAACGTAACCTTCCGACTATACCTTCAAAATTTAGGCCCAATTTTTTTCCCAGTTGAAATTTCTTTCGATGAAACAATCAATTTTGACATCGTACCTTCAAGGTGTCCTGATCCGTGTCGTCAGCTTCCTCCATCATGCCCTCGCCCAGCATAGACGTCCACTTGTTTCGCATCGACTGTGCCGCGTACATCTGCCACTTGAAGAGCGAGATCGGACTGTAGGTCAGCGTCAGGTTCAGCTCACTGTCACCACGGCAACGAAACACAAAGAATGACAATGCTGCAATACTACACTGTCGCCATAGCAACGAATGTACGTGGCAATGACGTATTTCCAAACGCTCGTCCACAAAATTTTTTATGGTCACGGAAAAAAGATGCCAAGACAAAACCACCGGCACTCATTCGGATCTCTAAACACTGTGAGGCATTACCACGAACACGCTGAAAGTTGAAACACGTCTCAAAGCAGCGAACGTTATGCTGTCAGTAACGCACAGAAACACTGGGAACACTGGAGGCCGATTCGATTCGCACAGCAACTAGTGTTCAACGCTCAATAATACACGTGTGAGAAGCATACTACTTGTGATACGTACGGCGTGGTGTGATTGATGGGCTGATAGTCGCCCAGCATGTTCCAGTAGTCGTTGAAGTAGATGATGGGGTAGTAGTTACCAGAGACGGGCTCAAACTCAATGTCTGCGAAATCACGACAACGCCGGCATTACAAATCTCAGACACAAACACTACAATCGCTTGTTTTCCGAATCCGCCAATCTCACGGTTAGAGTAAAGATTTCTTACTAGCTGCTACTGCTGCTACTGCTGCCGCCGCCACCGCCGCCACCCACCACTACTTATTAACTACTCTGACGACGACGATGACAACACCGTCCACCGTCCACCGCCGCCGCCGCCGCCACCACCACCACCACCACCACCACTACTACTTACTAACTACTGTGACTGCTTACATTCTTCGAGGGGCTGGGGCACGTGGCCCTGCACCCAGGCTGTGTGGTCGTCCACCAGGTTGATCGTCAAGTTCGGATGCCAGTGAGAGAGAATGTCCATCTCACCCTTCTCTGCTTTCTGAAAAAAATACGAAAGATCTCAAACTTCTAACAAGGTTTATCGCGCACTGAAAGAAATACGAAAGATCTCAAACTTCTAACAAGGTTTATCGCGCACTGAAAGAAATACGAAAGATCTCAAACTTCTAACAAGGTTTATCGCGCACTGAAAGAAATACGAAATATCTAACACTTCTAACAAGGTTTATCGCGCACTGAAAGAAATACAAAATATCTCACACTTCTACTAACAAGGTTTATCGTGCGCTGAAAAAAATCGAAATATCTAACACTTCTAACAAGGTTTATCGCGCACTGAAAGAAACACGAAATATCTCACACTTCTAACGAGGTTTTGACTTTTATCATGCAGCCAGGTAAGTGACAACGACTCGTGTCGAGACAGCATCGCATGGCAGGGGTTACTGTGGGAAATTTAAAAGCGTAACAAAAAAAATAGCCAATTGATTTTTTTGTAGCCAATGTTAATCACTTGTAGATTTGTAATTTTGTCGACATAATTTCATTCTAAATTTTCTACTTGAAGAAAATACAGAGAATCAAAACAATAAATAAAATGTTGATTTCACTAATTTATGTCTGTATGTTTCAAATCTGGACCTTTGCTTGCTGTGAGTTGCCAATTACCCAGTTTGGTCATTTTTCGCAAAAAAATAGCCAGTCGAATGTTTTTATAGCCAGTACAAAAAAGTGTAGCAATCGGTTATTTTGGCGAGCGGTAGAGTAACCCCTGACACAGTCTCCGACATTTCCAGCTTAGAACAATTTCTTGTTTCTAGCAACAACCTGCGCTAAGATATCCGTCTAGGCCACAATTAAAACAATCTTTGTTTGCCCTCACTGACCAAGGCTGAAAAGTTTGGGTAGGTAGGTAGGCTTTTTCTTGTGGGGGGTCTTTTTACAAATTCAGCATGGTGTCTACATGCTCGGGTGTGCTTGTGTGGAGACACCTTTTATGTTGAATGTTCGTTTTGCTTGGTAGATATAATGTATTGCCTACAGATTTATATAATGTACAGTGTTACAATTTGTAAAAAAAAAAGAATGGGAAAGATCAATAAACATGTTTGAGTGAGCCCCTTTTTGGCGGGTCGGTCGGGTGAGGGCAAACAAACAATATTTTTATTATGGCCCTAATTATGGCCGTAATTATGCCCATTTTTAAACAACAGTGTGAAGTGAGATAAGAATGTTATAAATCAGTCTCAGAAACGCCGATATCTCAAACAAACAACTACGAGGCGAAATCGAATGCACAAAAGTAAACAAAACCATTAGCAACAAGTGCAAAATGTACGGGCGAAACCACTGAGTAGGCGTAAGAAAACAGGGGCAGGTGAGTGAAGAAATTGTTCTGCCTCCTCCGTAAGTCACGCACCTCTCTCTCCTCGTCAGTCGCCTCACTGACACCGGTCAGCAGGTTGTGAGTCTTCTGATAGCGCTTCTTCTTGTATTTATTCAGCACTGCAGAGGGAAAGACACACTATCACACACCACCCACGTTGAAAGACACCCCCACTACCTAATGCACTTATGCAGGACATCAGAGGAAAAAACACAGTCATATCCTCATATCTTCACAATTATAATTAAATGTACTTATTCAGCACTGCAGAGGTAAAGACACACTGTCACACCCCACAACTACTACCTAACACACTTATGCACTACTGCAGAGGTAAAGACACACTGTCACACCCCCACGTTTACTATTTAACGCACTTATGCAGGACTGCAGAGAGAAAGACACACTGTCACACCATCATGACTCAGAATTATTAATTTCTTCATTAAAGAGGGGAATGAATGTCCACAACTTTACGGTGTTTGATTACTACAGTAACACTGCCAATGTGGCGAAGGCTAGAGGATTTTACTATTATGTCACTGACCCCGTACACCATGCACAACAGTGGATATCAATTTAGGCTTTCAACTTAATCATTGAATAGATTCTTGGTATAGGGAGTGTCATTTTAACCATACGTAAAATGACAGTGGTTCCTAACCATTGACTCCCCCCACAAATCCAAATCCTATATAAACACAGTATCAACTATAGCAAAATTGTTATGCAATCAAGCTTAGACAAAGCACTTTCATGCAGTATGTTGTGGTAATGAATTGGTGATACTTACTGTTGGTTTTATGAAAGGTAAAGCGTTTAGAATATTGGCCCTTCTTTGCTGGATTTGGGGACTTTCCAGCCTTCACGAAATACATGTGCATATATATCGAACCGTTTGACATCATACCCTGTGGACAAAAATATGTGTTTGTGTGAAAAACCGTCCAGGGAAATATATTTCCGATTCAAGGATAAATTCTGTATGTAATGGCGGTGGTTGATTTTGTTGCTAAAACAGCATATATTATGTGCTATAAAATCAAAAAAGATAAACAGGACAATAAATTCCTAAAAATAGCACAGCTTCTACTTGGTTCTACTAGATGGGAGTAGTAATTTCACCAGTGGTGGTCATTCAAGAGAATGAATGAGGGTAGTTTTCAGAATGGTCTAGCACATCCAGACCTACGAATAGATAGCATGGCTACCACAAATTATGATTAGCTAGTCAAATTAAAATGGTACCAGCCACTAGATACTGATGTACTGGGAAATTCGAACCTAGTGACTCACTTTTTATCAACACTTTTTGTGTGGGGAGTGAAGGATACATACACAAGATGGAACGAGCATGGAGCCAAACGAAGAAGGGTATCAATGAGGCTTCACTGATGTATAATTTTATGTCAGCTAGTGTTTGATGTGCCATTGCAAGGAGGGCAACCACTGCGCTTGCCATTGGTGCTGTGGTGACAATTTATCCGTGGTTGTGCAGTAATAGCTACTGCTTCCTACCTCCGTCGCTGTGATCTGGCCACTTCGAACAAAACTCCCGTCGTGCGACTGCCCATCGCTCCAATCGCCGTATATCAAATCTTTCTGTTCCCAGAACAGCGCTTCAGGATTTGTGAAATCGTCGAACTTTGCCTGCTCATTTATGTAGATATACATATCCTACAGATGAGGAAATAGAGATGGGTGTATAGTACAACTACAAAATTCGCACTCCATTCATACATAAGCTTCCACATTTCATAACAAGTATGAGAAACATGTTCGAAAACTACATCAGAAAGATTTAGCGCTTGCCGCTAAGACGACCAACCCATGAAAAGCTGAGCAATCGAGAAAATATGAGAAAGCTTGATCAACGGTTAATTATATAACTTGTACATGAAAGCAACTAGATGCACATGGGACTAACTAACTTACTAAACTCCATTTGGGAGCAGGAAAACGATTTGTCTCGTTCTAAGCCAATACTGAATCGATTAACACTGAATTAACCTGAATTAACTACAAATTATGATTAGCTAGTCAAACTATGCTGCGCACACAAAAATTCTGCAATTGAAGCGTGTGGAAGCAAAACTATCACGCACTCCTGTGCCTCGCAAAACCTTCAACACAAGGTGACGGGCCGTACGTGGTAACGGGCACGCACAGTTTCCGCATGTTATCGCTGCATCGCGGTCCCTGGCCAGCGACCCTCTTACCCCCACCACCGATCACCCGTCTTACCGCCGGTCACCCGTCTTACCAGTGACTCTCCACGTGCGCAGTCAACGACCGGTCACCTGACTTACCAGTGACTCTCCGCGTGCGCAGTCAACGACCGGTCACCTGACTTACCAGTGGGCTGTCTTTCTTGAACATGTTGGCTGAGCTGAGGCGGGTGCCGCCCGCGCCCGCGGCCGCGTCCTGCTGACCGGCGGGCTGCGACGGCCGGCGGAAGTAGCTCGAGATGAAGTAGATGATGAGCGCGCGTATGATGAAGCCCTTCGTTAGGCTCCACATGGAGGCCCCCTCCTGCGGCTGCTGCCCAGCGGCGGGCGTGGCGACCTGCTCCTGACCATTAGCCAAGATGACCTGCGGACGACGACGGAACAACAAACAAGTTAGTAAAATTATTAAATTAAAAAATTTATTTTATTAGCAAAGTGTAAAATTAGTGGTCGTTCGGAACCCTAGCGATTGAGCTCCTGCCTGTTTGCCACAACGACGTGGGGATGTGAACAGAATCATAAATTAATAACAAGTGCCGCAGAGCGACAGCGCTCATCTAACGTCTACTGCGGTGACTCTGTGGTGGAGTGGTGGGATTCTAGTAAACCCTGTTAGTCCCAAATGTGTTCACATACACGCCGAAACAGTGGAATGCACAGGGATGGTATCAGGAACCTTCTCAAAAGAATGTTCGTTGGGATCGTTATGAAAGTTGCCACGAGATGGCGCGTACGTTTAAGTGTCTTCAGATTAAAGATGGAAGCTCCCATCATACGTAGTAGCAACAACTATCTGCAAGACAGAATAGGTAAGCACTCATCCATTTACCTACACAAGCCTACAGGCTGCGCAATAGAGAGCTGCCACCTGTAACCAATTAAGGCAAAAACTCCACAGTACCACAACACATGCACTGGCAGTAGCCACTGGCAGTGGCATACGTTACATGTAACATACTGACACTACAGAAGCCATATAAATTATACGATTTAAGGAGCATAAACCTTCTTTAACCAAATTTAGCTTTTGAAATTTCACTGTGACATTGTAGCCTCATACATCCAGGCATGTATAGATTCTACTAGCAAACCCGGCAGTCAAATTCTTTCTAACAGACAGTCAACAAATCCATGTTTAACCCTCCTCTTGAGGGTCAAAAGGTTATCTGACACTTACTCTTCGCATGTCAGCAGAAAGTAGATTTCATGGTCCTTTCAATAATGCCATAAAAATGCTAGGTCACCGCTGAAACAAAAAAGTTTTTCAATCGCTCCGTCAGACCATGTCCTCAGAAAATGTCTAAAATCTGCCCTGTGCCCATTGACCTTTGACCTGTGACCTCCAATTTCGGCACAGTGATGGCTTTTCCTACCATGATGCTATACACCGACTATCACGAGCCTAGGTCGAGCCGTTTAGATGTGTGCCGCAATTCTGCATTTCCTCCCTATACCTTAAGTTAAGGAGTGAATGTTCCCCCTTCTTTTACACCTCTTGACCTTTGACCTTTGACCCCCAGCTTCGACAGCCCAACTTGTTTTGACGATACCACCCAATGTGCCGAATATCGTGACCGTACGTCGAGCGGTTAAGATTTGTGCCCAACTGTTGACGGACGGACGGACGACCGGACGACCGGACGGACGGACGGACGATCAAGCGATTCTACAAGCTGCATCTGACTATGTCAGATGAGCTAAAAATATACAACTAGTACTGTAGGCCTTAAAATAAGTAATATATAATAATAATTACATATCAAATTAGTAATCTTGGTGATATAGCTCTTGCCAATTTGGCACAATGTCATGCGGACAACAACAAGGGGGGGGGGGGCAATCTTTCATTTTTAGAACCTCAGTCTTTAATGATGGGGGCAAGATTAGGTTTATTAGGGTTAGGATTAGGTGTTATAAAGTTATAGTTAGTTAGTTACTTTGCCAAGGTTACGACGATTAAGATCGATGATATAGTTACATTGGTGCTAAAGTAATATTTACCCTGAAAATTCGAGGTGACGAGAACAATGGTGACTACAGATTGGACCTTCATTACGATCTGATGGCGTGGCTATCACGTACTGTGTGTGACATAACATATTGATCATTCAAGAAGAGGTACCGTATTTATTAATTTTGACTTGCAAGAATAACCAATCTTGAATCATCAGAAACGCTTGGTGGTAATCGGAGGCCAACCAGTGGTAACCAGATTTTGGTGCAATTAATAGACAATTCATTAAATTTAATATATTCTTTTTTCATCTATATACTAAGGCTCCATGCCTATTTTGCGAAACGTGAAATGTCACAATACGCGGTTATGGTCACAACACAACTATTAGGTAACAATAATTGATCATTGCCACACAATTAATACAGAACACTCCGTATACATTTGCGACGCTTTAATGTTAAAACGATTATAGTAACTAAATGCTTGCATTTAATATGGAGGCTTAATGTTTATGTACTTTGCATCACTTAATAATTTTATGTATACACTGTTCAAATACACATAGATCTCCAACACACAATCTCACTGCATGCATTCCACTGTGCACAAACTCACAAAAAGCTAAATTAGCTGGAAAATTGTGAGCACCAAATTGGGAAACTTGCTTGCTTGTTTCAGACTATCACAGCACAAACACACCATTTTAGAGGAGCAAAGTGAAAACCTGTAAAAATTCCCAGCTTTCTGTAATAGTATGGACTATACTTCCTACGTGCATGCACACATTCTATAATCTAGTAATTATTGTTAGGTCAACGCGAATTGATATCGCTCTCTCTTGTTCGCCAGTTCGTGTCACGTGTGTTAAACAGCAACTCCAGCTCCAGCATGTACCAGCTCCAGCATTAAACTACCATTTTGAGTTACATCACTCTTCGTCATTACTTGGGTACAACTTGAATTACGAAGAGAAATCTCACAACAAAATTATACTTCCTCAAAATGATTAGTGCGCAAATTTGGAGCTCTCAGTTAGCCACTTGCTATATATTTTGCATGTTTGTACATAATGCTAATGAAAAGCATGGAGTGATATTGTGTGTTGTAGAGCAATATTCTTTGGTGTGTTCAATGTTATTTTCAGTTAATTTAGGTTAAAATTACACTACATAAAAAGTTTCATGGTTCAATCACCATTAGAAATATTATTTAAAATGTTTTAAAACTAACGACTACAGTTTGATTACAACTACGGTGGCGCCACAGGGAACAAGTGCCGCATAGCGACAGCGTCATATAACGTCTACTGCGGTGACTCTGTGGTGGGTGGTGGGATTCAGTAAACCCTGTTAGTCCCAAATGTGTTCACATACACGCCGACAAATAGTGTCGAATGGCACAGAGATGGTATCAGGAACCTTCTCAAAAGAATGTTCTTGGGATCGTTATGAAAGTTGCCACGAGATGGCGCATCACGTTTAATGTCTTCAGATTAAAGATGGAAGCCCCATCATTCGTAGTAGCAAAAAACTATTTGCAAGACAGATTAGTAGCATCATCCATTTACCTACGCAAGCCTACAGGCTGCAAAAGAGAGCTGCACCGGCCCAACAAATTAACGCAGGCAAAAACTGCCCCAACACATGCACTCATTTGCACTGCAGCAGCCACTGGCAGTGGCAGTGGCATGCGTTACATGTAACTATACTGACACTACAGAATGCCATATAAATTATCGATTTAAGGAGCAAACTTCTTATAACCAAATTAGCTTTTGAAATTTCACTGTGACATTGTAGCCTCATACATCCAGGCATGTATAGATTCTACTAGCAAACCCGGCAGTCAAATTCTTTCGAACAGACAGTCAACTAATCCATGTTTAACCCTCTCTTGAGGTGGGGGCGAGGGGGAGGGTAGGGGAGGGGTTGGGACGAGGGTGGGGGGACGGGGTGGGGAGGGAAGGGCGAGGGTGGGGAGAGGGATTCTACTAGCAAAAGCAGTTCAGTCTTTGTTGACAGTGAACAAATCCATGTTTAACCCTCTTGAGGTCAAAAGGTTATCCGACACTTACTCTTCGCATGTCAGCAGAAGGGACATTTCATGGTCCTTCAATAAAGCCATAAAAATGCTAGAGTCACCGCTGAACAAAAAAGTTTTCCAATCGCTCCTCAGACCATGTCCTCAGAAAATGTCTAAAATCTCCCTGTGCCCATTGACCTTTGACCTGTGACTCCAATTTCGGCACAGTGATGGCTTTTCCTACCATGATAGCTATTACACCGCTATCACAAGCCTAGGTGGAGCCGTTTAGATTTGTGCCGCAATTCTGCATTTCCTCCCTATACCTTAAGTTAAGGAGTGAATGTCCCCCTTCTTTTAACCTCTTGACCTTTGACCTTTGACCCCAGCTTCGACATCCCAACTCGTTTTGACGATCCCCCCGACGTGCCGAATATCGTGACCGTTACGTCGAGCGGTTAAGATTGTGCCAACTGTTGGCCCGGACGCACGGACGATCGGACGATCGGACGATCGACGGACGATCAAGCGATTCTACAAGCTGCATCTGACTATGTCAGATGAGCTATATAATTTTCCCCGGTATCGCATCGCAATTCGCGATGTATTTTCAGCCATTTGCTACGCATATTTTTTTATAAATCGCAGTTGTGCGATGCAGCCCATCGCGAGATGTAAACGGAAACATACATGTTTACAATTTACTTTTATTCTCGGGCTGCTTTGCCGCGTCAATGAAATGCCACGTTACGCCGATTTTATTGATTTGTTAACCACACGGCCAACGTGACTTTTAACAATCCTGCACTCCCCCCCCCCCCGTACATCAATCAATATGCCGCCCCAGGCAGGTATACACAGCCACGCTGTGCTGGCGCTGCACGCTCTCGCGGGCTGCTTTCTTCGGTGACCTTTGATAATATAAAGTGAGGATGTCGTGGGCGAGGTCAGATAGCCGGCCCTTCACAATCGCTAGAACTGTATTTCATCAATGTTTGATATATATAACGTAAGAACCAACATTTGATTAAAGTTCTAGACAATTATTTTTACTCGCCAACATGGGCGAGTCAGCTTTAGCTTTCACTCGCCCGGCCCGATATTATTTTCACTCGACATTGGCGAGCGGACGAGTGCCAAGCTCGCACGCTGTTTAACGCTGCCGGGGCAGCATGCAGAATCGCTAGTGGGTCCTAGCTTAAGCTAGCTGTGCCTGTCACAGGCAGACACGATAACACGCCAAGCATGCCACTGCGGTGTAAATTGCACTGTGATTGTCTGAAAAAAAATGCTAACAAATTTATCCAATTGCTATGCAAAATTTATTTTGTATAGCACATTTGCTTTGCAAATTTTGGCTGGAAATTGTTCCCTGGCCACTCAAA